TGTTTTAGATGGGTTTCAGATCGATTTGAAATTATTTGGCATATCTTGTACTGGTCTGTCGCACCTTCGAAACATGTGGCACAGGTGCGAGTTTGCAGAAGCAGAAAGAGTCACGTAGAAGTGTTAATTGGCCTTGGAAAGGGTATTCGTAAGTGTGGGTGATTGTGCATAGAAGCGCTTGCGCACATGCAAAATGTGCGCACAGGTACGTCTCTGCAGAAGTAGATTTGTTTGCGCAAGTGCGAATGGTCGGAACTTTTAGTGACCTCACAGATGCGAGTGTTTATCCGTAGAAGCGGTGTCGTAGAAGCAATATTTTGTCCGCAGAAGTGGAATCCCCGGCAGTTTCATATATTTCGAAGGCTTAGTTCATTTTTCATTTTTTGAGTTTTAGAGCTTGGCTAGAGGCGATTATTGGGGAGAATTTCACCACCACTTTGAGGGCAGATATTTTGTACTTGGATTTGAATTTATATGTTAATTCCGCATGGATTTCTACACCTAAATCTTGGATTTTTAAAGAAACACTTGGGGTTTCGTCTACAACTTAAGACGATCTAATTTAGGGATTTGAAGGTCGATTTGGACTTGGATTTGAAATCTTATCACGTATTTAGACTCGTGGGGTAATGGGTAGTCGGGATCTACCCCTTGACTTGGGTTTTTGACCGTGTAAGCCTGAGTTGACTTTTGTTGACCTTTGGGAATTTCTTTAAAGATCAAAGCTTTATTATTTGGGGTTGTTTCCTATGGTTTTATTAGACGTTATTGAGTTTTTTTTGACTATATTTGGGTCATTTGGAGTTGAATTTGGATGGTTATGAGATTTTTGCTTGATTTGAGGTTGCGAGATGGAGGTATGTCTCTTGTCTATCCTTGTAAGAGGGAATCCTCCACCTAAGTAATATGATTCCTACTTGATTCATGATTTAGGAGCCACGTATATGCAAGGTGACGAGCGTATATGCGTAGCTAGGTTTCACCATATCCGGTGTTGTTGACTTGAGTTGTGCTTTTATTGAATTATGTAAAGTTGTTATTCATGTTCAAATTGATCTATGACTACATGATAATTGTTATTCGTGATTTAGGAGCATGCCTAGGATTATGACTTGTTGATTTGACATGAGGGTTACTTTGCCATGTCAGGCTTTATTATATTTTCATAATCATATACTTGCCTTATTTTCTCCATTATTTAGATAGTTTCTACAGTCTAATTAACTCATGATAATGATGTGATTAAGCTAGAACATGTTAAATAGCTTATTAAACCGTTGTGATAAATTGAGTTACATGATTTGCCATAGCCGTGAGTTAGCCATTTAAGATCTTATATGTATTCTTATTATCATGTCTTATGCCCTTCGATTATATTATTTCCTTCACATATGCATGAGTGAATAAGTGGTTATTGAGGAAAGTTGAGAATTTTGGCACTACGAGAACTTGAGCGGATATTGGTACCAATTATTGGATTGATGATGTTATGATTTGGATCAGGTTGCACGCCGCAGTGATTGATTGATCATCATGAAATAAAAAATTATGGATGCTTGTATTATTGATCGGTCACTCCGGAGTTAGGCGATAACCCATGTTACCTTGAGCCCTATGAGCGTAGGCACCCGTAATTCTTTTGCTGCTTGTTAGACACGTGGCTTGTGTCAGGCACATAGATTTGTGCTATGAGTTATTAGGTAAGGGATACTAAGCATGCATATGTATACTTGAGCTTTTATACATGTTGAATATATCATGTCTAATTTCATGTTGGATTATTCTCTCATCTGATTATCTAACTCTTAGTGAATGTCGAAGAAGACCCCACACTTCTACTTCTTCTAGGCTAGATTTGATACTTACTAGGTACCGTACTTTGTAATCATACTATAATTCTGCACATTTTGTGCAGGTTCTGAGGCTGGTGTGAATGACATTCATCCAGGACAGTAGGTGGATCTATGGAGACTTCATGTTGAGCTTTTCTATATGATCGATTCGCAGCACATGGAGTCCCCCTCCCTACTTTTCTCTTATGTCTATCTACTTTATTCAGACAGACAGTGTATTAAGATGATTTCTCATACTCCTATTAGATGCCTGTGATGACTGTGACATCCTGGTATTGGCAGTTGTGGTCATGTTTAGACCCTTCCGTGGATAGTTTATCTATCTTATCAGACTTGAGATTATTTTGTTTCCTTATTATATTGAGTAATTTGTCAAGATTGATTAATATGATTTAGAATTATGATTGTTATTATGTTGGCTTACCTAGCGAGCAAATTAGGTGCCATCACGACCTTAGGTAGGATTTCGAATCGTGACACCCGCCTAATCTGAGCTGTAGTCGTATACTTTTGCACATGCATACACCTTAGCAATGCTATTTTCCTCATTCCATGAGTATGTGATTTGATATTCGCTATTCATATACGTATATTGTTGCATATACTTTCTATGTGGGTTAAGTTATTAAAGAACGTGAGTCGTCTGTGCAATTGTTATGATTATGGTACGTGAGTTGTCCGTGCAGGGTGTGGATAATGATCCATCCCCCTAGGGTCGTCCTCTCATGTTTCTCCTTGATGACATACACGCGGATTGTTGAAGACTGATAAGTGTTTGGACTTTGCTCTTCACTCTATGCAAACTCCTTGACTGTATACATGATTTTTATCATATATCTTCTCTATATGCTAACTCTTGAATGTATACATTCCTTTTATGCCTATTTTCTCTATTTGCTGCTTTGATTGATGACATGCTTCATGGTACATATCTTCTCTATAGGTCAATCTGTGTAACTTGACTTGTTTATTCATGCATATCTTCTCTATATGCAACTTTGATTTATGTAATGTTTCACGATACATATTCTCTCTATACGTCAAACCGTGTAACTTGACTTGTTTATTCACGCATATCTTCTCTATATACAACTGTTGGTGAGTTATTTGTTATCGACTGCATATATTTATGCTGAACCATAGTTGGGTTATGATACTTATGTATATCTTCTTTATGTGCACTGATGGCCTTACCTTTATTTCATGCTTAGATTTCGGTACTGTTGCTGTGTACATATTTATGCTATTGAGCTGCACAAGTTAAGCAAGTTAATATCTTTTGACTTAAAACCCTCGTCACTACTTTACTAAGGTTAGTCAAGATACTTATTGAGTACATGGGGTCAGCTGTACTAATACTACACTTCTGCACCTGCGTGCAGATTTAGGAGCTGAGTTGCTATGGATGACGAAGGCTAGCATTGAGGATGTACCAGCATTCCAACTGCAAGCTACCACTTTGTTCATGGTAGTTTAGGACGTATATTTCTGTTTATATAAATTTGAAATAGTTGATGTAAACTTTCTTACATATTAGAGTTGTATTCTTATTATCAGTCACTCATGGATTGTACTATCAGTCCTTGGGGTACCTATATTTATTTCATCATTTTATACTATTATTTATTTGATGATTTCCAGTTTGGATGGAGGTATTTGTTAGTTAGATTTCCTAGCAAGTTAGGTTAGGTGCCATCACAAATTGGCTGGATTTTAGGTCGTGACATTGAGCTCACATATGAAAAACCCGAGTCTAGGGGTAGATCTTGTTGATCCATAACCCCATGAGTCCATATATGTTATTAATTTCAAAATTTGAGTCCAAATCGGTGTTCAAAATCTCAAAGTACACTCTCTTAAGTTGTAGAAAACCCACAAATTATAGTTTAAAATTAAATATTCTAGGTTTAGAAATTCAAGAGGAATCAAGATATATGATCAAAACCAAGTAGAATTTACTTACTCTAAGATTGGGGTGAAATCTCTCTTTAAAATCTTCTCCTCTCATACTCCAAAACTCAAAAATAGTGAAAATGAGATAAATCTCAAAATATGGACATAAAATACCCATGTAGTGAAATACACATAGCGATCGCGACCACTAGCTCACGCAATAGAGAAGCACAAAGGACCACCGTCTAAAGTCCTTCTACGCGACTCTGATAGCACCCACGCGATCGTGAAGGTCAACTAGTCAGCCTTCTATGCGATCACAAGACCTCCCATGCGATCACAATTAAATCCCCGCCAAAGCTACATATTGCGGACCACTCCACGTGATCATGAAGAACAACTCTTCAAGCCTAAATCCCTTTCTACACGATCGTTGCACAAGCCACGCAATTGTGATTCACTGCCCTGGCACCAGAAAACTAATAATTCAATCTTAGCTCAAATGATCTGAAACCACCCCGAAATTCTCCCAAACCCCCCAAGACCCCGTCCAATCCTCCTAAAGAGTTCATATATCCTATTCAAACTTATCCATATACTCGAAACATGAATAGCAACATAAAATCTAAAAATCAAAGGCCAAGCCACATATCAAAACTTCCTTAAGTTCATAAACCTTTATACTTCTAATCAAGCATCCGAATCATACTTAAACACCTCGTATTGAAACCAAACTTTGCACACAAGTACAATTTAATTATGTGGACCTATCAAAGGACTCATAATGCCAATCAGAGTCTATTAAAATCAAAGTCCACTCTTGGAAAACTCATGAACTCTTAAGTTCTTCCAAATGCCAACTTTCGACAAATAGGGTAAAAACCTTCTAAAAACATCCAAAAACAAATATGAACATACATATAAGTTCAAATTATAATGTTAACCTATCAGAACTATCAAAATACGATCCCGAGTCCATATATCCAAATATCAAACCTTTGTCAACCTTTTTAACTCTAAGCTTCGAGATAGGACCTATTATTCTAAAATACTCCTGAACCTCTCATAAACCAAACCATCCATCCCCAGAAGTCATAAAACATCAAAGCAACCTATGAGAAGCATCAAATAAGGGAATGTGGTTCAAGATCTTAAAACGAGCGGTCAGATCGTTACATTCTCCACCTCTTAAACAAATGTTCGTCCTCGAGTAGGTTTAGAAATGAACCTGAATTGCTGAAAAGATCTGGATATCTACTTCTCATATCTGACTCGGTCTCCTAAATAGCATTCTCGCTCGGTTGTCCTTTCCAAAAGCACCTTCATCGAAGTGATTTCCTTTGACCTCAAATTATTAAATTCTCTATCCAAAATAGGTATTGGCACTTCTTTATAGGACAAATGCTCATCCAAATGCACTGTCCTGAAGTCCAAAACATGTGACCTATATTCATTATACCTCCGGAGCACAGAAACACAAAATACCAGATGAACCCCTGATAGGCTAGGAGGCAAAGAAAGCTTGTAAGAAACCTCACCAACTCCCTCCAATACCTCTAATGGGCCAATGAACAGTGGGCTCAACTTGCCCTTTTCCCCAAGACTCATCACACTTTTCATAGGTGAAGCTTTTAGAAGAACCTTCTCACCCTACATATATGCCACATCACAAACTTTCTTGTCTGCATAACTCTTTTGCCTGCTCTGAGCTGTCCGAAGGCGTTCTTGTATCCATTTCACCTTCTCCAAAGCATCTCTCGAGTTTGTACACAACAATCTGTTAACGTCCAAATCCACTCCTCAAAGAGTAAGTGTACATAGTCGCATGCAATATAATTTACCCAACTACGAGTTGGAGTCGAATCCCATAGGGAACAATATGTAGGCGATTAGGCAAGTAAGAGAATTATCGCGTTTATGCTAAGCCAAAAACTAATAGAGAAAACGTTTACAACCAATGCGAAAATGTAAACTAACCTAGAAAGCAAGCAAAATAATCAATGGTTACAAGCATGGAAACAAGGGGAATTACACTCAAGTAACGATTCAATGTATTTCACGATTTTACAAATATGAGAGATTTTATGTTAATTAGCCTGGGGTAGTTATTCTATATTTGCTTTTTCAGAAGACTAACAAGATTTACTAACTAAAATATCCCTAAAACAATTAAGAGAATTAAGTACACCCGAGTGTGACTAATTGTTCAATCCCATCCCTAGGTATAATATATAAAATGAGGGTTAGCACATCAAATTCTTGTTAATTAATCTTTTCCAACCCCCAATTTGCCTTTTTCAAGATTAATTCGAAGTTAATGGGTGAGTCCTATGATTAGCTAATCCCTTTGAAAACCTTAAAGAAAAGAATAACTAAAAAAATAATTAACTCACTTCATAATTAATAAACATCATTCAGTACATAAGCATAACAAGAGTTTTAATCCATACTTTCATAATGAATATTTCCATAAACAAGGTTCAAAAGCTGGAGTAAAATACTACACATTTAGATATTCAATTCAAAGCAAGAAATTGAAGAAATGAGTAAAAAAAGGTAAGAAATCTTCAAATCTTCAATCCCCACAAGTGTGGTGTAAGAACCTTAACTCCCAAACTTGTATTTTCTGCCAAAGGATGTGTTTCTAAGAAGCTAGGCCGAGTTTTATGTGGGTTTCAGATCAAGAAAATATGAAATATCTATTCTGTCCAAATCAGAAGCCCGTGGTTTGCATTTGCATAAAATGGTTCGCATTGCGAACTTGGACTGTACTGTTGACCACCGCAATTGTGACACACAGTTTGCATTTAAGAGCTTGGCCTTTGCCTTAGGCTATCGAAATTGTGACACAACTATTCGCATTTTCGATAACTGCCTTCTTTTATATCCTTTGCAATTGTGATAAGAGGGTTCGAATTTGCAAATATTGACTGGTTTTACTGACCTCGTATTTGCAAACCCCATTTAGCATTTGCGACATCTGATTTTTTTTTTCAAGATTTCTTTCTTTGAACTCCGTTTTTGCTCAATTCCACTTCGTTTGATCTCTATTCTCTTCATGACCCATTGTACCTGAAATAACAGTGATACATATCATAAATAGCCTCATTTTTATAAATAAAGAATATAAAATCAAAGTAAGAGATTAGAATAAGTGGTAAAATCAACACCTATCAACACCCCCAACTTAAAGTCTTTGCTTTTCTTCAAGCAAATAAAAACTAACAACTCAATGAGGTTCTATCATCTCAAGGTCATGTAGTATCACTATCATTTTCAAAATACATTCCTCATTTAAGCACATCACTCATGACTTTGGTTGGTACATATAATTAGACTAAAAGCATTTGAACGTTAATCAAATACCATCTTCATTTCAAAACACAATTTCAAGAAGGCAATGGCATTTCAAAACAATTAAGTGACATCGAACAAGCCTCAAGAAGTTACTGAAACCACTATCCTACTAGATATGCTCATTTAATTTAATTTTAAATTTATCAACATCACTAATCTATCATAATTCATGTGCCCTCACAAGAAAGAAAATCCCAAAATCAATATTCACAACAATAACACAAGGGATATATGCATAAAGTCACTCACACTCAACAAAGAAGTTCAAGTACTAACAAATATCATATCATAGGCTTGCCCTTATTTTCATTCACCGTTAACTTAAGAATATTCAGTTGGAGATCACACAAGGACTTTTTAAGCTTGTAATGTAGGCTTCTGGAAGGGTAGGATAAACATCTGGGATACAAGACTATGTCTTCCTTGAAAACTATCTCATTTGTCTTTCTTTTGGCAATTTGCATATTTTTAAGACCACATAGCCCAAATTAACTTCTAGTTGCCAACATTGAACTACCTTGAATTTCGTACCTACCCTCTAGTTGTGCTTTCTCTTCAATTTGCTCAAGACTCCTTTTTTTTTGCATTTCTTTGGAGATTGAGTGTCTGGTAGCTTAGGATGATGTGAAGCTTTTGGTTTCAAGTATGTCGACTCTAGCTTAGCCACACGCTTCACATGACACAACCTCAAGGGATTTTTTTCTGCACATTAAACGCATCTTCACCATTTTCCAATTGACACCAATACCCCAAACTTAGGCTTTTAGCCTCATTCCTAACATTCACGGAAGGCCAGGTTCAAAAGAGGGAATTATTTCACAAAAGAGATAAAGGTTTGTAATGTGGTAATCAAAAGAAGGTTAAAGGCTCAAATAGGATTAACTAGTGATACTAGTTGTGCAATGGTAGGCTCGAAAGGCTAAAGAGGCTTTTTCAAAGACCAAAAAGAATGCCTAAGGTCATCCCCCAACTAAACATAACTAAGATTAACATTGCATGACTAACCGGACAAGTTCTAGATGATATAAGTAAGCACGCAAATTATTCAACAAAAGCTTACCACACATGGCATATGAACTAGTCAAGACAGATCAATTTCACTTCCTAAACAAGAACAAATAGAGCCATTTCTCATAATATAAAGTAAGACCAACTAGTAGGCAACGAGTCACAAAATGAGCCAAGATATTTTCACAAAAACTATTCTTTTACATACCTTGATTTCACAAAAAATTTCGGAGGGGTATGCTTAACACTACACATGCAAAAGACTAACTCTATTAGTACCACACAAGCCAAAAGTTTTTACATTTTCGCTCGAAAGAGAACTTATACCTACAAGGCTAATTCCCATGAAGAGAGTCGCCTAACAATCCATCACACGAGAAGTCAACAAAAAAATCTACCTAAAAATACCCGATTCAAAAGAAAATTGGAATCCTCGAAGAAAGAATCGCGCACAAAGAAAACCAAGGACATTGACACCAAGTTATCAACAAATATTTAAGAAGCTAGTAAACATACTAATATAGAGTATCACAAACACAAAAAAATAATGTCAATAAAATATCAATCTACCCATATCGACAATTATACAAGAAGCTACCCCCAACTAGAAATGTTGCAATGTCCCCAATGCAACTAAATATAATAGAATAAAATGGTGAAAAGTGCTCCCTGAATATTGCATCAAGTGCTCTCGATCATCCTCAGTCTCAGCCTCATCCTCTTCTTCGGACCACTAAACTGGAGCATAATCAACAACATCTGGCTTGGAAGACAGTAGTGACTCTTGAGGTTTTAAAACCTTCCATATCCCCTTCACACCATTCTACATTTAGGTAAAGAATTGATCTCTCTTCTTCTCTCTCTCTTTCTCATCCTGATGTGTGAATTTGTCAACTTGGTGTGGGAAGTACTAATGGTGCCATGTGCCGTGGCCAAGTCAGTACATGCTTTCTCCAACTTTTTAAGGTGGTACCCCTGTTTATTTTTGAAATTCTTTCTTTGACACACCCATAGAAGGCCCCTCAGATGTATCACGAGGTCTCTTTAGAAGGCTAGCTATTAACACCGAATCTGCCTCATCTCTTCTGTGAGTATGGCAAATGGTCCTCCTGTAGCAGGTGATGGCTGACAACCAAGGTAGGTCTGAGAAAATGATCCCAATTTTCTCCTTTTGCTTTTCACAACACTACCCTCCCCTCATTTCTTCAATGGAGCTATAGGCTTATTCAGATCTATCCAGTTGTCTTCAAGATCCTCATCAACCCCCGCAATCTTGCACAACTCAGTGATGAGATATAGGAACATCAGGGATGGACTCTCCTCTGCTAGATACTCCCTCAGCTCACTGATAATAAACTGAACCACATTGATCGAAATGTCGTCAAGAATGCATGCAATATTCTAGGCTCTCAAAATGGTATATTTCATATATTCCAACAGGGGAGATGCGACTGCAAATTATGGACCGCCATATCTTTGCCTCGGTAGTCAATTTCTTTGGATGTGATTCCATTCTTTGTGACAGCCCATGGCATATCCTTGCCCGGGCACAATTTGAAGACCAACCAATTGCCTGTAGCACAATCCTTAGCACGAAATGGAGCCATGTCATGACCCCGTAGGTTATAGAATTAATTTATGACTTCATCTCTGAAGTTCACCATCTTGCCCCGTATTCTCATGATTGGAGTGCTCAACTTCATGGCTTTAAGATTAGCATAAAATTCCCTTACCCACTGCTCATTTGCCTTACAAAGTTGAAGGGAAAAACAAATCCATCCTGTAGCCACAAGTCTTTGGTAAAATGCGAGATGACGTTTGGGAACCTTATCCATTTTCATCCCACTTTCTGGAGCAACTTCTTTGAAGCTAAGTTGGCATAGTACTGTTGTTGGCAGTCCATTAACAAGAACCAGTGCTGGTCATAGTACTCCTCAATTTCCAAAGGATTTTCATGCACAAATTCAACGTAGTTAGAGCTCATTTTAGCTTTTAGTACCTGAAAACGAAGAATATGAGTGAAAACTTGATATGGGCATGAAATACATTGAAATATGAGTCAAATTATGCCAAAGAAATTATTGGATAGTTGAAATAAAAAATAACAACAACAACATACCAGTATAATCCTACATAGTGGGATTTGGGGAGGGTAGTGTGTACGCAGACCTTACCCCTACCTTGTAAAGATAAAGAGATTATTTTCAATACACCCTCGGCTCAGGAAAGCATAAGCACCAAATTAATGAAAAAAGACAAGAATGAACAGCACCGAGAAGCCATGTAAAAGAAGCATAAGAAACAGTAAGATAGTAAGATGACTTAGAAACCTATCCTTAGAAAACAATTCAATTTCAAGGCCTGACAAAT